GTACAGGTACACCTGGATGGGTACAGGTATATCTGGACAGGTACAGGTATACCTGGATGGGTACAGGTATATCTGGACAGGTACAGGTATATCTGGACGGGTACAGGTATATCTGGACAGGTACAGGTATACCTGGACGGGTACAGGTACACCTGGACGGGTACAGGTGTATCTGGACCCCTACAGGGTAAAGCAAAGACAGATTAATTCCATCAAGAGTCTTGTCAACCTGATCTGCTTTCTGAATGCGGACGGTTCGAGTGCTGAATGTTCCACATTCCAACAATAAACAAGTTCTACCAGATGATGACCATCCTAGAGCTAAGAACTGTATTTTAATGAGGTGATATTCTATAACTAGAATAGCAGTGTGTTTGGTTTCTCGTGAGATATAGTTCTATGTTTGTCTTGTCTTGGTTTTTCAGCTCTACGTTTCTGTGCTTTAGGATTTTGTGTCCCTTATTTCCGGCAGACTTTCTTCCTTTCAGGCTGTTTTTGTTTTCTGTTGAGCAGCTGTAACTTCTTGGATTCTGAAGCTTATTACCTTTAACCTTCATATTTATCTGTATTGGTTAAAATGCCTCAAACTCTGTTCAGTCTAGTTCTATTAAAGTTGATCAGAACCGATCTAGTTTATCCTTGATTTCCTCCCTGATTGGATCTTTGATTCAGAGCTAAGCAGCTTTTTAGTTGCAGACCCTTCATCCTACCTGCCCTGGCATCTAGCATGAGCTCCAGCAAAGGTGCTGAAATGTCGGCTGCTGACTTGCCTCTGATCCGTTGGGCTGGGGTGCCGCTCAGAAGAACCGTCCCTCCGATCAGCAGAAGCATGAAGACTCTGAGGAGGAGCGTGATGCCCGCCATGACCTTTAAAAGCTTCTAGGACACACAGATGATGATGATGATGATGATGATGAAAAGGAGGATGGAGAAGTGGAAGAGCAACTAGGAGCTGGACAACTTCACTAAGGGTCTTTCTGAGCAGTAGACTTAGGACTTGTTCAGCTGTGGGACGTCCGCGCTGTGAGTCGAGGTCCAGTGCATCACCCCCATCTATAGGCTGGGCAGGTGGGCGTGGCCTGAACCACAGCCAGCTCTGCCTGGTCTCCCTCCTCCCTCCGCCTGCAGAGCGCTGGACCTGACTTTGCTCCGCTCCTCCTTCTGCTCTCTGGTTTCCCTCCTTTTGTGTTTCCTGCTTTTAGGTGGTTTTACAGAAGGTTTTGTTCTCTTCTGTTCTCAGACGTCCAAACAGAAACTGTTGGTCATTATAAAACCTTTTAGTACAAATGATGTCTCTGATGGAGCAATAATCAACTACAGATGTTTTCTCGATTATATCAGAAGTATCTTGATCTTTGGGATGTAGATATAAAGTGTTTTTGTCGCTATATGGATGTTTGGTTGGTTTTGTTTTCTCTTTTTTTCTGTTTTTTGAATCTTTTGTTCGTTTCGTCTTGTTCTGGATGATGATTGTTGATCAAGCAGGAACACCATCAAATGTTTTGGGGTTAAAATGCGTATTACTGCCTGCAGCCTTACTTCATTTTATTTTTGGGGGGTCTCCTGGCTGTGTGTTTTGCATCACTCTGTGGTTGTTCTGCATGTCTGGGAACATTTCGCAGTGTTGGAGTGATTTGGATTGACCCTATTAATTTTTTTTATCCGTTTTTTTCTTCCTTAGATGATTCTCTGTTTTTCCCCCTGTGGTGTTTATTTATGTGAACTCTTTACCAGAAGAACCTCAGCAGGGGTCAGGTTAACCCAATCAGACCTTGGGGTCACTCATTAACTCCTCATGGTGCGCAGAGAGCCTAATGCAGCACAGTGTTATGGATGGTGCCTGTGGAGGGAGGGCCCTCAGTGTGAACACGGCAGGATTACTGAATTAACCGTCTAATTATGGCCACATGTTGGAGCTGAATCGCTCCATTGATGTCCCTGAATTTTGGCTCCACAAGCTGCAGCTGGATGTGTCCGGGTGGAGCTGCGAGGTTTAGAGCAGAAGGAATGAGAGGAATGTAATCTCCTCAGCCGAGGGTGTTAATGAGTTCACACAGAGAAGACCAGACATGAAGCAGAGCATGCTGGGAACATCACAACATGTCCGTTTGCTTAACACGTGCATCCAGAAAGGCTGACCTGCTTTATCCAAGCTGGAGAGACTGGAGCCCGAAAGAACGGATGATGGTGATGATGGTGATGATGATGATGATGATGATGATGGTGAGGCCTGGGGGGAACAGTCAGAGGTTGGCAGGGATTCTGGGTTCAGTGGACCCAACACGTGCCGTCACATGCGACAGGAAAAAGGCGAGGTGGAGCGAAGCAGCTTGATGCCAAACAGCAGCGAAAGTAAAAACGGTTCATGTAGAAAATGATGATAGATGAGATTAGTGGAAGAAAGATCCAGAGATGAGAACAAATCTTAGAAATATTCCAAATCAAACCAAAACACTACTGGGGTTTTATTTAATCTGATCGGCATAAAGGAGCAGAATCCTGCACCCAGTGGCCAAACGTGGAACTGCAGCGAAATACATTTTTATACTCTAAAATGAAAATGCTGCTCCAATCTACATGAATTGTTTCTATGGGTAACAAGTCAATCAAATTTTATCCAATTGATTAAATAAGTTTATAAGTTGAAAATTCCAACTCACTGCTTTTGGGAAACTTAATTCAAAAAAGCATTTCACTAACAAAAAGCTTAATTAGGGCTTTTGGGGTGTTTGTAGTTTCTTGCTGTCGTCCTCGAAACGCTGCAGGACTTTTAGAAAGTCCTGCAGGTTGGATCCATTTCTGCTGCTTCTGCAAACAGATCATAGATAATTAGACCTGCAACACTTATAAGTAATCGCTACAATATTTGAAAATATTATAATTATCATATATTATAATATTATTAAAATATAATTATAATATAGTATAATAATTTAAATGTATTTCAATATGTAAAATAATAGATATTATTTGCCCAACTTGCTGGGTTAATTAATTATCCAGCATTTTTTACAGTGTGGATTATTCCCACTTCTATAGAAGCAGTTTTAACAGTAATTGTGTAAAACTTAAGATGTTTCTAAAAAAAATAAAGCTAAAATATTATAACTTTCAAACCATCTGATGGTTAAAAAACCTCAATAATTGGACTAAAACCAATAAAGACGTGTTGTTGTGCTTATATATAATTATTTATTAATTAATTAAGGAAAAGGGTTTTTTTTTTGCTGATTATTTGGTGTTTGATTAAAGTACGATAAATGTTGATTAATTACAGACTTTGTAATTAACTCGATTAAAAACTTGAATCACGTCCGACCACTAATTATTCTCCTTTATCGATAGATTGGTGTAACTTTATATTAACTTATTGGCTGAATGGTTTTAATGGCTTCTCTGACTGACCGTTCCTGTCTTCAGGTGTTGCTTATCTTTGGTGGCCAAGCGAAGGTCAGAGAGCTGCAGAAATCACGAGACAAACTTCTTCCTAAGACATGATGAGGCTGATCACTCAGCATCCAGTGGTTGATGTTTTATAGCAGAACCAGCTGTTCCACAGACACACGTCTCCATTATGTGAGGTTGTTGTTTGCCTTAAAGCAGCAGAGCGCCTCAAACACTCCCACATAAACCAGCAGAGAGGGGCTCCACTAATGAAAACACTCTGTTAGTCCACACAGACCCACAGCCTGAAGCTCATCAGGATAACAATGTTAACTCTGATGCCAAGTGGGCCAAAGAGTTTTTGTTTTCCTAAAACCAATGACTATTCCGCTCTAACAGAAAAACCTCTTCATTGAGGTTTTTAGAACAAACTCATAAACACTGCAGTCTAATCAGAACCAGCCTTTCTGCTCCATGTTTAAACCCTGATGTTCAGTTCCAGCAGGCGGGAACAGAACATCTAATCCTAGAAATTACACGTTTTTATTTGGAACCTTTCAGAATAAACCTTGATCAAAGTAGGTCCAATGTAAACAGTAGGGATGAGAGTTCAAACAGAAATATTCTGAATAAAGTGACAAACTGAAACCAAATAGTCATGGTTTATAAAAAGTCCCAATTATGAGGTCCAGAAGTGATGTTTGGTCACATGACCTCCGTAAGAATAACCATCCTCCTGCTGTATAAGAGCAAGAGCAGCATACTTCCCAAAAAAAGCGTAATTAAAATAGTAAACCGACTTTAGATTCAATTCTTATTGTTCTAAGTTTGCTCTGCTTGGTGTGGATGCGTCTCAAAGCTGAACTCAACCATAGAAGAAAAACTTATATTTAGGTTGATAACTTGTTCAATTTTTCAGTTGGGTCCTCACAAAGCAAAATAGATCCCAGCCTTATTTTAATAATTATTATTGAACTTTATTGATCTCACATTGGAGAAATTTAGGGTTAGTCTTAAAAACATGCCATGTTTAACACTTAATGTGTCTAAAAAAAAACGACTTTCATCAACAGACCAATGAGCGAACTCTGATTAAAACAGGAAATCAAACATTGTGATTGGCTGTAAGGAGAACGGAGCCAGAGGACACTGCTAGTTTACTGAAGAAAACCAGTTGCTAACCAGGTTAGCTCTGGGTTAAGGCTGTTACCATGGCAACAGAAACAGAGGATGAGGAAACTCTCTGTCAAATGGAAAACTCTGAGTTTCAGGGTTAGAAAGAGCATTCCTACAGACGCACAGTAACTACTGACACATGGACTGAAAATTACCATAAACCATCTTTCATTTCTGCAACTCTGCACTAAATGATGCATTTGAACTTGTATCTCATGTCCTGTTTGCAGGGCTGTTCAAAGAGAATGTGCCAAAAACTGCTGGGAATATCAAGAAAGTGCTGATTGTAAAACTCAGGGTTTGGAGTTGATTCATCGCTGCTTTTTACTTGGTTGGTATTTTTCACTAATCGTGGTTCCTACATTGGGAAACGTGGATTCACCAAGATGAACTACGGTGTTCTAAAACTCATCCTCCCCAATAAAGGGTTAGAAAAACACAGGACCTGGCTGAGAAACTTGTGAAGTGCTTCAAACCCTCAGGTCTCCAGGGCCGGTTGGAAAGATTCGCTGGAAAGAAGATGGAACTCCAGATACAAAATGCTAGATTCTGCACTGTCCCAGCATGAGGCTAACCGTACTGCTAAACAGTTCCCAGTATGACAGGATCCCACAGATGAAGGTGGACAATTTAAAGACATTAGTTGCTTTCCTGAAAGTCTCTAAAGATGTAACAAAGGATGATGAGTCCTGCAGTGTCGCTGCATCACTTGTTCTCCTGGTTGATCCTAACAGCAAGCAGCTCAGCATCCATATAGAATCAACCACAGCGCGTCTCTAAACATGCCGACCCAAATGGAGGAGACCAACAAATCAACAGTATGTATTTAGACAAATAATGCACAAAAAAACATTAAAATATGTCCTCAATTTTATGAAAGTAGAAAACAAGAGCTATGCGTTTAATTTGTTTTATAGAAAGTGTAATAAACAACAGAGAGGGTTTCTGAATGTTTGGTTAGAAAGTGTTAGAAAGTGTCTCTGGTGGCATTCTGGAGGAGAGGCACACAAACCTGAACCCTGAGACATTCAGCAATGTCCTGCTTCTAATCATTAGCATAAAGAAATAATGTTTACGCGTTTAAATCGCCTCTTTCATTGGTCAGACAAGTTTCGCTTTAGCTCACTTTGTGGCTTTAGTTTCGGTCATTTTATAAATTCCTTTTAGCCTCCATATTTTATCTGGTTCACTCTCATTTCTTTTAATATTTCAGAGCCCTAACATTTTAAATAGGAAACTGTCTTTACAAGAGATAATAAATAATTTTTTTTATTTCTTCACTTCTTAATTCTGTAATAAATACAAGAAATAACTGGATGAATGAAGCTCTGCTTTTTCTCATAGTAGCTTTGCCTCGTCTGTTCCTGTTTGGCTGTGACGTCATCCTGGAAAGAAACATCAGCTGTGCTGCTTCCATCAACACCCTTGTTTATAGATGTTGGAGATCGGCCTGTTTTCCAGTGTGGTCCTGTTTCT